CCCTGCTTCTTGCAAATGGGAAATGTCAAACTCTTAGTAAGACTCACCGAGTGTTGCTGAGCACTCCTGAGCCCAGCAAGGATTTAGCATGTGTGGGGGGGGGGGTTGCTTTCAATTTTGCATAGCAAAGCTGGATTTGTTGAAGCTTGCCCGGGGCTCAAAGCGTCATTGCGTGCTACTAAATAGTTGCTGAGCCTGGATCGCCCATGTGCTGTGTTCTTGGGGGGTGGTTGAGAGGTCCTGGGTGCTACTGAGTGCTACTGAGTGTCCATACTGAGCCGGGATTCCAAAAATGTGCTGTGTTAGGTTGTGATTGAGCTACTGAGTGTTACTGAGTGTTACTGAGTGCTACTGAGTGTTGCTGAGTGCTGCTGAGTGCTGCTGAGCCTTGCTAGCACTCGAAGCAAAAAACATGATTGAGCCTTACTAAGCCTTACTAAGGCCAACTAAGCCCTACTAAGCCCTACTAAGCCCTACTAAGCCCCACTAAGCCCAAGATTCATGTTTCTTCATTTTTGGACCCGATGCCAGTCAAAATCACATTTGAGGGGGGGGATACGGAGGGGGGGTTAACTAACCTATGAGAGTCCGATGCTGCAAGAGTCCTCACTCAGCCTAGATGAATTCGTTCTTTGGCAACCATTGTTTGTTTAATATTGACTCCATACTAATCAACCCCGTTTATTGATCTTGGGGTGTTCCCCTCCAAAAGTGATGAATCCCACTACACCCCACAACACCCCCCTTTGGCATGTGACAGTTTGCCTTTCGGAATTTCGACACAATAGCGCTCAAGGAAGCTGCGACCAATCGATTCTTAGTTCTTCATAGGCCCAGAAAGGCTTGCCACGATCTTAGCACCTCCATCCACCATGGAACTTTACCTGCAAGACCAAAATTTCCTTCAAAAGGGACTGTAGGTGGATTCCATCTTAGCGGGAAAAATAGATTTGTTTCTTTTCAGTGGATCTTTTGGGCGTAAGACCCTTTCTGAGGGCCGCAGACAGATCGCGGCTGACTCCACCGAGCTTTCTGCGCGCATTTCATGAGGTTCTCTGAGTAACCCCTGGGAACTTTCACCAACAGGTGGAGATCATCGTTGAGATACCGATTCTCAGTCTTCACTGTTCTTGGCCTTTTTTTTTTTGAGCTCTGTTGGTTCTGTTTATTCTTTCTTTGGGGGGGGGGGGTGCAAAAAGTAAGGTACATTTGGCGACCATGCCAAGAGTAGAGATGCATTCCATGCCCAGGAACCTGCATTTCCCCAACTCCTGCTGGAAGCTGAGCGGCGAAGGCGTCCATTGGGTCAAAATGAAACCACCAGGGGACTTCAGTTTTTAGTCCTGCGGGTGTGTGTTTTTAGGGGACCGCTTCACCTTGCAACCCCATGTGCCCTTGCCTTTATCAGGGCAACCCATTTTGGGGTTACTCTATTTTTGACCCACACCCAAGACTTTCCAAATGTTAGACGTACCCGTTGGCCAGCGAAAGACGCGGCAAGTTGACAAGACGGCAAGGGTTTTGCTTCCACGCTCGCCTGGAGGACACTAGCTAAAAGAAACATATATTCTATGGCATTACTGGGATGACTGGAACAATATTTGTGGCACGCTGATAATTTGTGCCCAGTCCTCACAGTGTTTCCTTCTCAATTCCCGGTATGGCTACTGAGCTATCTTCTCACATCTGGTGAGCCGTGTGATTGACCAAGTATACCAAAAGTGGGTGCCGCCTGTTTAATTCTTTGCATAGGTGCGTCTTTTGTAGGGAATGGGTGCCGCCTGTTTGTTTCTTTGCATAGGTGTGGTAAAAATGGGAACCAAAAGGACCACCACTTTCTCTTTGCAGTTTGGGAGTGCCGCGTTTTGATCATGAATTGGATAGTTCCCCAATTTACTGGGGCCAAAACTGAAGCCACATTTTACTGGGCCCACTGGTTTTATTCCTTAAGCCATTTATCAGGGCAACCCGGACTTACCCGAGCTTTGACCACACCCATTTGGAGCCCTGCTTCTTGAGGGATGGAAAAATCCACTGTAGGTTTCAAACCAATGGGAAACCCTGTGTTGGGGTTACCCAAGTTTTGACCACAGCCACTTTGAACCATTTTTCAGGGAGTTCCATTTAGGTTGCCCACGATTTGTTATACCACCCATGTCACTTTTCTGGAGTACTCTCTTTCCATTCATTACCCCTTGTTACCATAGCAATTATTCAATCCAATCTAAAACCCAACCATCCCTCTCTGGGCTTGCCCCATTTTTTTTTTACAGATGTCTTTCTTTTTTTCTGGAGAGCCGGCTGGAACCCCCCCCCCCTGTCCCCCCGCAACTGGCGAAAGGAAAAAAACACATTAAAAATCAAAAATCAGAAGAAACAAAAGAACCCAAAAAAAACAATGAAAATAAAAACAGGAAACAAAAACGCATCCTCCGAGGCTACCGTCCATCTCTGAACCTCCAAGTCTCAGAGGCTCGAGCGTTTTGTTTCTTCGGTCGGCGGCTTTTTGGCGGTCGGTCGGCGGTGCCCTTGCGCCGAATTAGGCGAGGGGCAAAAGACGTGGAACTTCCAGTTGCTTATAAGTTTTCTAGGTCCCCCAGCAATTGGTGCCCTTTCTCTCCCCTTTTTTGGTTGGGAGGAGTTGCTTAAGTTTTCTAGGTCCCCCAGCAAGTGGTGCCCTTTCTCTCCCCTTTTTTGGTTGGGAGGAGTTGCTTAAGTTTTCTAGGTCCCCCAGCAATTGGTGCCCTTTCTCTCCCCTTTTTTGGTTGGGAGGAGTTGCTTAAGTTTTCTAGGTCCCCCAGCAATTGGTGCCCTCTCCCCTTTTTTGGTTGGGAGGAGTTGCTCTAGGTCCCCTTTTTTGGTTGGGAGGAGTTGCCTAGGTCCCCCAGCAATTGGTGCCCTTTCTCTCCCCTTTTTTGGTTGGGAGGAGTTGCTTAAGTTTTCTAG